TAAAAACGGAAATCTAGAATTCAAATGTAGTATATGATTGTTGCACCAACTAGACACATCTATACATACACATAAAAAGTTAGCAAAGAAAAATGATTTCCTAGATGATGGCATAAATCTTTACTGGTAAATATGAGAATCACTAGCTGCATATGGTGATTTGACTTTAAATCAATTGAAATGAAATAAAATTGATAGTTCCATTGATAGTGCCAGGTGCAGTGGTGCACACCTGCAAACCCAGCTACTCCAAAGGCTGAGGCAGGAAGATTCAAGGACATCCTCAGCAACTTAGCAAGACCCTCAGCAACTTAGCAAGACACTGTCTTAAAATTTTAAAAAAATAATAAAAAGGACTGGGGATGTAACTCAGCAGTAGAGTGTCCCTGGGTTCAAGCCCCAGTACTGAAGGAAAAGAAAGGGAAAGAAAAACAATTCAGGTAGTCACAGTAGCCAGTAGTCCCATTTTCAGTGCTCAAAAGGCATTTTGCAGAAAGAAATGTCAGTCAAATGTTGAGAATCATATATTCAGTCATTTCAGAGCTTCATTTCCCATAAGCTTGGCGAATTAGTTGTTTCCTTTCTCTGAGGTTGAAACATTCTTTGCAAACTTATGGGTTAGCAATGGGGAGTGGGGTCATGAAAGACACAGAGGAGTGAGTCTTTGAGTACAAATAATTGGAAGAATAAAAAGAATTGTTCTTTTTAAAAACTCAACATGAGTTCAAAATCTATTTTGTGTTTGCTATTTGAATTTATAAGGTGCTGCTTAACCAATACAAAAAGCCTTCTTAACCTTTTATCACTTTCCTGGCCCATTAATACCTTTGGGAGGGTGCTGTCTTTTGGTCTCTTCAAACCACTGGCTCCAAAATAAACTTCAGAAACTGAAGACGAAGACGCCTGGGCAGCAAGAGGAAAGGAAATCAAAGCGGGGCCAGGATCAAAGAGGCAAACAGCCCTGTGGATCTCAGGGTGGAAGTAGAGCCTTGGCTGCTTTTTCCTGGTTTTCCCTTTAATAAACCCCCAGGGCTCCTCTGCCAGGTCTTAGGCAGGATGAGAGGGATGGACTTGAACAACAAAGAGCTGGGGAAGAGAGTACTTAGCACATGGGGAGGAGAGGCAGGCCRCTGTGATATTTGGGTGTTGATAACAGGAACTTGATGGGAAATGCTGAGGATGAAGAATGGGGACAGTCACCCTGAGTGGCCCCATCCTTTCTAGACTGGGCTGCCCTAAAGTGGACCTGGATCCACATATTGGTGCCTTTCTTATTTGTATTTACTGGCCCTCCCCCATTATCTTCTATATCACTGTGTCCATTTCAACAGATGTTATTGACAGACCAAATATGAATAATGGCCAAAACTGCTCAGCAAATCAAGTGGTAAACTAGCCCCAGTGTTAGAGAGGGGGACTCCAGATCCTAATCTCAGTGATTGCTGTCTTCAGCTAACTTTGAACTTCAGTTGGTAATCTGAAACTAGCAAACTGACATGTTTCTGAAGAACAAAATACTTTATGAAGCCTTAAATTTCACAGATTATCTAATTTTGGAAAGTAACCTGCAATAATAACTTTTTAAAGTTATTGTCAAGGAGTGGGCTCTTTCCATTTTTTTTTCTGGTTGGGGAAATGGGTATAAAAGAATTATCAAGTTATTCATTTTATGTTTGCAGCAGGGTAACTGAGTAAAGAATTTAGAACATGTATTTTATGAAAACTACTCAAACAAAAGAGGAGAAGGTATTTATATTACAAGTAAAATGCATATTGGTCTTTTGTAGACTCTGTAGTGGTTCCATCTCTCCAACCCTAGTCAAAGAAAATTCAAAGCAACTTGGGAAATCCATTCCCATGGTGATGTGTTATCTTTTTCCAGGTATATCACACTGCCTCTTCTGCTTCAATTTTGTATAATACATTTTTTTARAAGTCAAATTTCTCCCCCTTTCTCATTAGTGTTCTTTTTCTTTTCTGGTATTTTTCCAGAATACCACATTGCATTTAGGSATTAAAAAAACCAAAAACCAAACCAAACCAAACCAAAACAAAACAAAAAACCCAAAGATTTTAAAATGTATTTATAAGCCAGTTATGGTGGTGCACACCTGCAAACCTGGTTACTCTGGAGTTTGAGGCAGGATTGCAAGTTCAAGGTCAGAAATTTAGCAAGACCCTGTCTCAAAAAAAGACAAAAAGGGGCTGGTGAGGGGCTGGGGATGTGGCTCAATGGTAGATGCTCACCTAGCATGTGCTAGGTGTTGGGTTCGATCCTCAGCACCACATAAAAATAAATACAAAATAAATGTATTGTGTCCAACTACAACTAAAATAAATAAATAAATGAATGAATGAATGAATGAATAAATAAATAAATAAAAGGGCTGGTGATGTAGCTCAGTGGTAGAGCACTCCTGGATTAAATCCCTAATACCTATTTAAACAAAAACAATACAAAAGTACTGACAACAATAATAAATGCACATRATTAAAAAAATAGCAATAAATCAGTATTGAAGTATACAAGTCTCTCCAACCATTCACTCCCCATTCTAACCCTGAGTTTCCACTGTATAGGTTATTTTTTAGGCATATGCAAACATACTCAATAAGAACTTAATTTAGAGAAAAAAAGAGAAAAAAATGAGAGACTGAAATTTTATTCTTGTTAAGTAAGCTTCCACTGTCACACAAACCCTCGGGAAAACAGTCATAAGAAACTAATGCCTGCTTAGACAGTTTGGAGAATTATCAAACTGCAAATTGAAAGATGAAATTTCTTACTTAGTTTAAAAGACAGGGAAAGGCTACATTGCACGTTTGGATAGCTTCATTAAACCCCAGGAGCTTGCAGGAATGAGCAAGCACTCCACTCATCTCCCCAGGTTCATTTCCCTGGCTTATTACAAAATAGGTAGGCTAGGGGTTCCCTCAGCAAGTGAGCCAAGTGAGCAGATGGTGGCAGAGGAATGATGCTTGAATGAAGGACCCAGGGGAACTTCTACAAAATAGGCTGAAGAATTCCTATGACCCCTGGGCAGAGAGTCTGGGTTACCCAGACTATCACTAGCTGTTAAGCTTCCACTGGCAGCCAGCAACCAGCAAGCCTCTGGTGTTCTTCTGGGGTTGACCTCTCTGTCCCTGTAACTACAGTAATGCATCCAACACTGCAGCCTGGACCAGGAAACGAATGAGCTCCATGTTCCTGAAAGACAACAACCTTCAAGACTGAAAAGGGGCCAGGGCTTCACCCTCCTCCTAAGGGTGACTGGGAAGCTCAGTGTGACCACAGGAGTCAGGTCTGGAGGTCAGCGTAGTACTCTGGGTTCCGGGTTCTTTGGGCCTCTGCCTGGATTCTGGTGTATTTCCTGATTTGTAAATTTGGGATGAGAATGCCTACTTCACAAGAACACACATAAAGCATAGCATAGTGACATTCATACATTTTTTTTTGAGATAATGGATTAAAGACTGAATGAGCATAGAAAATTAAAAAGTCTGACCTCTCATCCTATACATTCTGGGCCTGATATAATAGAGGAAKGGAACTGAGAGAAAAAGGAGAGAGAGTGGGAGACTGGTGGTAGACGGACAAGCAGGGAAGGAGCATTGTCAGGCTGCCTAAGAGGATCTTAAGGGCTGGAAGGGGAATTTTAGATGCAATCTCTGACCGCCCCACCCCTATCCCAACTGGACAAGATTTAAGCTTAGAACTCCTCTTTGCAGGAGCTCCCGGAAAACATTCTGCTTTGACCCCTGCAGTGTCGGCTCAGAATGAAAACAGCCAAGCTCTTTTGAGATTTCTATTATCCTTTTAGAATAGAGACAGTAAAGAGCCCGCTTTGAGTCAGCGACAATGAGTGAACCCTCCTGGTGGAAGCAGCACTCAGGTGCTGGAAGCCTGAGGACCTGGGCCTCGGTGCTCCTCTCCCGAGGGCTTGCACCACGATGACATTCAGGCCACGGATTTATCTTTCTATAAAGCAAGTCAGTGACATCCAATTCAAGAGACATTCATTTAAGGGTATAACATTCAATAGATCTGAATGAATGAAAGAGGGGGGAAAAGAAACATAAACCATAACCAAAGTACTAATCAGGATAAAATGGGAGCCTTAAATGAGTCCCAAAGGATAAAGGAAAGATACTTCAGAAGAACGAAAACTTCATGGAGTGCCTTTTATCTCCTCCTGCAGCTAGGCCTGTCTGCAGGCGGGCTGGGGGCTGGGGGGGGGGGGGGG